ATATATAGGATCATGCTGATTTTATTTGACCGATATTTTCATTATCGTACAATGTTGATATTAATAGTTTATTTGCTATTTGCGTACAATATTGACATATATCAATAGTTTATTTTTATATACAATATTGATGTTGTGCCCAGAGTTGTGATCTGTCCAAATTTAATAATATGTTATTGAACGCTTGTACCATAAAATTCCATTGTTTAAAGAAATTCATTGATTCCGACGTTTTTGTTACAAACTCGTGAAATTTTTTCGACTTTTTACGCCATCAATAGCAGAGTGTAAAAAAAAAATGAAATCTCACCTACTTTTTCCTTGTCTAGAAACTGCATTTGGGACGTTTAAACCTTTACATAGAAAACAAACGTTTATAAAGGATACAGAGAGGGACCAAGTAAAAATATGTTTTCTTGCATTCAGTATTAGCCTTAACTTTCCGATTCATTTTTCGGATTTCGAATTAAAGAAGAATCTGTTTAGGGATTGGGATCGATTCTGCCAAAATCAAATTAATCGAAAATCCGATCAGTCGATTATCGCTGTTTTCAATTTGGTGTGATCATAGCGTAACACCCCTAAAAATTAAAAATTTGTGAATACCCGTGATTTTTCTAAATGGTTGATTACCTATGATTACCGGGGGAAATTATGGAAAATTCCAATTATTTGGGTAGTTTACTTATAAGTAAGTTTTTAACTTTGTGTTACAATAACAGTTTTTAATAAGTAAATTTACTCGAAAAAATAAGATTTTTCACTGGTATTCACAGGTTATCAACTATTTACTAAATGATTTTTTAGAAAAAATAATGGGTATTTACAAATTTTTGATAATCATATTTTTTATAGGAGTGCTAGCTTTCATCGCACTAAATTGAAAACAGAAATCGAAACTATAGTGCCGGCCCGAATTACGAAATTATAAATCACGTGACATTGTGTTACACTAAAGTTTTAATTCCGACCGGAATTATAAGCTTGGCCAGAGTTACTGCCGATCACTGATAAAAACGTTTATTTTAAATACAAAATCATAAAATTTTAAATTTGTGATATTGGAAATTTTACTGCCACAAATTTAATGATGCACAATCGATTAGAAACGATTAATCGAAATCGAAAATCGAATTTTAGAATCGAAATTTGAGAAAATTCTAATTATGGGAATTGATTCCAATCCCTAAATCTGTTATTGCTAGAATACTATAGAAACGAAAACATAAATTTAACGATGACCATTGCAAAGAAACGTGTTCGGTATTTGCTTTTTAGAAATAAGGGCATGTCCGCAGATTATTAATTCGTAATTCGTTTGTGAAAAGATAAAAGCAAATCTGAAACTTTCTACAGGAACAATGGAAATCCAGATTTGGCTCTTTCAATCTTTAATCCGGTTTATGAGAATATGAGAAACATGTTAAATAAATTTTATTTACGTTTCTGATAAAAATAAATAAACTGTTTTTAGCGTTAAAATTCCGCAAAAATTCCTAACTCTAAATCTACACTAACTCCAAGTTTATATTAATTCCAATTCTACACTCTTATCTAATCTATTAACTAATCAAATTAAGTTATGAACCCTAACGAATAGAAAACAAACAAATTTAAATGAATCTTAACTTTTCTGGCAAAATTATCAAACCAGATTTCAAACTTGTAAATGTAAGCCCTATTTTTACCAAAGCCACTGTAAAAAATGTTGATCCGTGTTTATATTTCCTCTCTAACACGGATATCCGTGAATGTATCATTTTCACGGAATTTTTACAAACGCTACGGAGAAATAATGGAAATATTCGGATAAAAATTTTTATAGAGAAGGGTCCTCCATTTCTTCCTATCAATTCGTTTCATCACTTGTACTGAGATTTTATCGAGTTGAACACGGTTTATATTTCATGTATCATTTAACGACGCTAAAAAAGTATGTCAATATAAAAAGCGAGATAAAAAACGGTAAAGGAAAGATATGAAGGTATTTGTTGATCAAACCAAATAATATTTATAGTTTATACTATTTTTACTACATAATAATAATCATGTAATTAATTCTTAAATTCTTTTTTGCGCAGTAATTAACACGTGATTAAATAAACTATAAATATCACATGATACGACTTAGTATATGTGAAGAATAAATATAGCTTAATTAGTTTTAGTATGAAGCTTTTCATACAGTATATTAGACATATTAAATTAGGAATCTTACATTTCGATGTGAGTATATCTGATATGGTACAGTGAGTTAATCCTATTTAATTTTTATATTAATAATAGTATTAATTCCTATTTGTCGCATTAACTGAAACTTATTTTAATGGATCTTTGACCAATATTTTATTCCACCCAATAAATAAACGAACGTGGATTATTGAAACATGTTTCAGAACACAATTTAACACATTTGTAAAAGGATTCACTTTTTTTTATAATTATTTTGACAATCAACAAAAGTAAATCTTACAAAATTATTCTCAAAATATTATTTATAGTATTAGTTTGCGTTTGAAATAATGATAATCCAATAGATTACAGTGCTTACAACATCAGATGATAATTTAGTAATAATTATTTAGTCTTCGTAATCATCGTTTAATCTTTCTTGTTCTACTGTTAATCACAATACTAATATTTCTCGTGCAATGATACAGGTAGGATACAAATAGATTCTCAAATGATATTTTATGGCTTAATAATACTTGGATCTTTGGATGAATTCTTTCAAAGATACGTTTCACCATAATGGTATACTCGAATACTACCCGGTTTGCTCAAAACTGACTTGCAGAATAAAAGCTTTGTTAATCTGCCAAGATTGGAACAATACCCATCACTTTTTCCTTCGTATTAATCGTCGAACCCCGAAAATTTCTCAAAATTTTTTCCAGAATCAAGTGAAGTTAGAATTGTATTAGATGAACCTAATTTTTGATAAAGTTAATTAAATGAAATCAACATAAAGCAAATAAAGGGAATTTCCTAAAATAGTGAATTTTAAATATTTACATTTTTGTTAGTTTGTACTTTGTAATAGTTTAAGTAAAAATTGGTCCGATGATTATTAACAATTTAAAGTTCAAATTTATATATTGAAACATTATATTATAAAATAAATATTATTTATGATTTTTTTTTATCAAACACACCAATAGTTTCCTTTCGATAAACTAAAAAAATAAACTAAATAAAATATCCAACCATAATTAATTTATTTGATTTGTTGATATATCCAATCATAATTGAATTTTTTTTTTATTTCTTTGAATACAAAAATAAAATAATTGGTCCCTCTTTTTTTTTTCTACATCTTTTGTAATATAAAAATTTTAATTGTAAATTTTTTTTTTTTTTTTACCTCTTCACAGAGTCACCAGACCAAACTTTTTCGTTAAAAAAAAAAAAAAAAAAAAAATTTGTAATTTGTCAAAAATAATGATTTTCATTGGACAAAAGTTTGTTTTAATGGCGTTTAATAAATGTTTATCCGTTGAACTTTAAAAAAATCGTTCACATCTGTGTACGAATGTGGTGCGTACTAATTAGTTAAAAAATCTATCATGATTTATATTACCTGTTACAATGCAGTAACGATATTATTAAAAACACGAAAAAAAAAATAAATAAATTATAGTGAACTAATTATGTAGTATTTTTTTTTACCCGCAGGGTAACTGGTAAACTGGGTAAATTTATAAAAAAAAAAAAAATTAAAAATTCAAATATTAAAAAAAATTCCAAATGTTAAAAAATTCAAAAAAATTCCAAATTTAAAAAAAATTCAAAAATATTAAAAAACTCAAAATGTTAAAAAAATTTTAAAATATTAAAAAATTTCAAAATGTAAAAAAATTCAAATAAAAAAAAATAAAATATTAAAAAATACAAAAAAATTTGGGATATTCGGTTTAAAAAAAATTTCAAATGTAATAACTATTATAGTTACTATAATTTTTTTTAATCGATAGTTACCCGATAGTTACCCGTATCCAAAAGAAACCATTTTTGGAAATAAATTGCATAAATTGGCATAAATTATAGTGTGTGTTACGATTGATAAAAAAAAAAAATAAGGTTTATTACTGATCTACGTGATCGTACAAAAAATTCTTGGCAAAAGGATACTTTTTTTAAATTAGTATTTATAGGTTGAACTTATATAGGTTTAAAGTTCTGTGCGCAAAAATGATTTCTATAAGTTGATAAGATCTGTAATGTTGCAATACTTGCACACTAATCACCAGACAATTGGAAAAAAAAGAAAAACATCCCGCAGATCGTGTTAAACTATTTTTGATATACAATAATCATTTTAAAAAAAAATTCGAAGATTCAAATCATATACATCATAAAGATATTATTTCAAATTTATACGAGAAAGCTTTAAATAATACTATTAGTTAGACAAAATGAAATTTTTTATTCCTGGTGAGTGATGATTGGTTGATTTTTTAAAATCGCGTGAATAATAATGATGTTATACAGTATTTAAAAGTCACGTTTATATGAGAATTTTTTCCTACAAAAAAAATACACGAGAAAAAAGATTGGATCACAGAAAGAAAGGCTGTGATGCATTTTGTGGCTGACGATATTGACATTAATAATTATTATTACATAAAACTATCTTTCAATTGTTCAAAGTCATGGTTTGCACGATCACAATCGGATATCGTGATCAAAAGCTTCATTATTGATCGTGAATTTTTTTCGCTTTTTCTTTATTTATACAAATAAAAAAAAAAAAAAATTTGATATAAAATCGTTAATTTCGTTTAAATGGCCTTCAAAGAATTTAAGAAAAATTAAACACGTTAATATAATGTACTATATGATTGTATAGATGTAATGGATTTATCAAATTTCTTTATTTACTGCAAAAATATTCAATTATTTTAATTATTTACAAAATAATAATAATAAAAAAATAAAAAAATAAATTATTATAATGCAAATTACATACATTATTGTATATATATATATATATGAGTTTTCTATTTAAACTAAGAATTTTCTAAAAATAATATACACAAAAAGTCTTAGCGGTAAGTAGAATATAATAAAATTTGAGGCAATTAATTAATTAGACCTCATGATATTAAATTTTATTCTTTTCTTGTTGAATTATAGGTTTACAATTATCCCATACCGAAAACAAAACAAATATTACTTTTAAGCAATTAAAATCCTTTTTTTTTTCTATTTAGTTTAAATCTTCTCTCACCCAATTCTATTATTTATATGTATTGAATTTCTAGCAGCGCTCGACGAGTCCAAAACTACCTCCTCTTGTTCATCTTCAGTTAACCATTCTCCTTCTTCTTCTTCGTCCTGTATAGGATGGGAATAATTAGGATTGGTTACACTGACGGGAGATATTGGACTAGCCACTTGCGTAGCTGGTTGTGAAACAATGTCTTGTGATAATGGATTATAATTTTGTTGAGATGGTGTTATACCCATCACATATGACCAATTATTATTTGACCTACCGCTACTAGATTTGTCATTATCATTATCATTATTATTATCATCCTTTGTAGTGGAATTACCTTTTTCTTGTGGAATCACCTCCAACTCTTTACGTCGAGACTTTCTAGGCTTTCTCTTTCTAATGTTGTTGTTATTGGTCCGCGTCGGATCCATATACATAGTGGTATCAGGTGGAGACTGCATAATAGTAGTAGTCGATATCATATTTGCAGAAGGAGGAGGCGATTGTATAAGTATAGATGATTGTAATTGATCATTCGTTTGAATATTTGGTCTATGTTGCATATACGGCACACCTGGTGTTGATGATTGTCTCATAGCTTTTGGTCTTTGCGGTTGAACAAACGATTGTAATGTTGTTAATGGTTGTACATTGCTCTGCAATAAAGGAACTTGTTGATTATTGTTAGATGTCTGAGGTTCCGGTTCATCATCATCGTCTAATATTATTATAGCAGCAGAAGCTTTATCTGACTTTGACGATGTTGAAGGAAGTGATGATCTCTTGGAATTCGCATCAATTTGCATAACATCATCATCGTCAGTTGTATCTCCGCCGTCACCTTCATCTTGTCCTACAACTGTCCATTTTCCACTAGAATCCATCTCAACAGTATTAACATTTCTAATTTTTTAAAGGGAACGAAAAAAAAAAAAGATTAATTATATAAAATAAATCTCTTTTCGATCAACGTGATTTTGGATTATAACTTACCCTGGTATCTGTCTTAATAAACTTTTGAAATATTCATCAATTCGTAATGTCTCCGACGTTACTCTATCACTAAATTTATTAAATAATTTAATATTTAATATATACATACATATATCATGTAATCCAAAATTATAAATAATTATTGAAAAGAATTTAAACATACTTGCACTCGGGACATCTCCATTTGCAATTTTTCTTATTCACGTCAACGTAAGTTTGCAAATCAAAGCACTAAATGATAAAAACAAATAAATAAATAAATAAACATATAAAATATATATATTTTTACGTTCTAATTTAAATGACGAGTTTTATGAATCTTTTTTTACTTACACCTATGTGACGACAATTTTGTCCTTTCGCAGGTTCGGAAATTCTTAATAAACTTAATGGACAACGTAAACTAACTTTCATTTTATTAACCGTTATGTCACAATCATCATCAATTAACATAGCAACATTGTTCTGACCTGTTCCAATCGATGAAGCTGGACTCGTTGGTTGATTTTGTTGATTTGAGGAACTTGGACCAGAAATTAATCGTTTAACTGATTAAAGGGTAAAAAAAAAAAAAAAAAATTTTTTTTTAAATATTAAGAAATTATTAAATAATAAATCATACAAGGATAAAAAAGATTTTTCAATAATTTACCAATTTCCGTTCCATGTTCTATGGTAAGTGTTTGACTACGTGCATTACGCAACACTATTTCTTCCGTTTCTTTCGCCAAAATTTCTATCGACAGTATATGTTCCTATAAAAAAGGATGAAGATTATTATTGTTATTCTCTTATGAATGAACTAGTAATAAGGAAGGAAACGTTAAAATGACTTACACTTAATTGCTGTCGACATGGTTCACACNGTCACAATCATCATCAATTAACATAGCAACATTGTTCTGACCTGTTCCAATCGATGAAGCTGGACTCGTTGGTTGATTTTGTTGATTTGAGGAACTTGGACCAGAAATTAATCGTTTAACTGATTAAAGGAAAAAAAAAAAAAGAACCGATTTTAATTTAAATATTCAATAAAATATTTTTTTCAAAGTATAATTTATTATGAAATCATACTCTGCTCAATTTAATTTCCGAATCATTGATATGTATTTTAAAAGTTGCTTCCTCTGGAGGCCAATCGCACTTGTTATCTTCATCAAGATTACTGGGTTTACGTGATATTAACCTGTAACTAATTGGTAATTTATTTGGATGTACGTGAACTGGCGGGAAAGGAGTTTCTGGTCTTTTTTTTTAAAAAAAAAAAGAGAGAGAGAGTTAGAAATATAAATTACTTCTGTAAACTCAACAAAAACACAGAAACATTGAGTAATTTACTAACCTCCATATCCTTTCGAACTTTTCGTGAGGGACATAAAAGGAATTTATAAATTCTTGTTGAGATTGATGTTGATTGATCATTTGCGATTCATAAGGAAGCATAACATGACCCCAAGCTCGATCGATTATTCTGGAAATCCAATTTGCATTCGCTTTTTCAATATCTGTAGAGGGTCGTTGTTCAATTCTTGGTTGGCTTACAGGAACGCTTATTTGCTGTTGTTGTTGTTGTAGTAACACTATTTGCTGTTGCTGTTGCTGTTGTTGTTGTTGTTGTCTTAAAAGATTCCTTGTGCTAGAACGTTGAGAGCTACCAGGTTTGACCTCATTGTTCCATCTTTTAATATGACCTTTTTTAAGAAAAATATATATATATATATATATATTATATTAATATCTGATATTTTTTATTTTTTATTTTCAATGACGCCAAAATAAATAAAATATTTAAGACACAAACTTTGATTGTTTAGATTAAATCTGCCGATATTAATCATAGCACTCTGAAAAACTTTTGATGCTGCCTCAAAACCATACGAGGCTCTATTTTTTACACACTAATAATATATATATAAAGAATTAGAAACGAGTTTAATTGATTCATTTATATTATATATACAAATACGTACCCTTAAACACTGAACCAACAGTTCTTGATATGAATTATATACATTTCCATCTTGCAAATAATTATAAAGTTCATCACAATTAGATTGAAAATAATCTTTATTGTCTAAATCTACCTTTAAACTCTCTAATCGTTGATAGATATGTTGTATTGAATCTTGTGTTGATGAAATATTAGGCGTAGATATGTTATCACTATTGTACATTGGATTATCCATTATTGATGTATGAAGAGGTTGCTGAATCTGTGGTATTGGATACAAAGTAATCTGACCGGATGTTGAAGGCCTCAATATTTCTAAAGAAATTTGTTGCATTTGACCTTGATTGTTTCCGTGCTGTTGTTGTAACATTTGTTGTTGTGATATTTGTTGTTGAGTATTATTATTACTAATTTGTATCTGGTTTTGAAAGCCTATTTGTTGTGGTATAATTTGACTTGAAACGGGAACTGTATAAAAAATTAAAATATCAACAATTGCGAGTAATAAAAATCATTAAAGAAAAAAATAAAATAAAATAAAATAAACATTTCAAAAAAAAAAAATAAATCAAATCTTTACCATGATGATTATTTTGATTTGAAATAACCTGATTGGAGGATTGCAACGCCTGTGGCTTATCAGAATTATTAAAAATGTTATTATTTGAAATTGTATGGGATTGTGATCTCTGACTCTGATTTTATCGCAAACGAAATAGTTTTTGTCATTTTTATTTGTTATCTTTAAAAAAAAAAAATTTTTTAACAAGAAATTTAAAAAAATAAATTTAATACATACTAAAGCATCGGCAAATGTTAATGGTTGAGGTCGTAAAATACTACTATTATTTCGCACCGTTATTGGTGGATTTATACTTGTTATTGGACTAAAATAAAGTGATGATGAAGGTTGAATGAAATGATACGGTCCTTGTTGCATATAAGCTTGATCGGATTGATGAGAAGGAGGATTCACATAAGTACTACCACCACTCTTTCGTCTCTTTGCTGATTGATTTCCTTGATCCAACGTAAATTCATGTGGCATCGTTCTAGTAGTAGTACTAGGTCTTTGTAGTATATTATTAATACTAGCTTGATTCGATGATCCATGTTGTTGCGCGTTTTGTTCCGGAGATGTAACGTAATTATGCATTTTTGTCCGAATTGTATATTATTAATCAATTAAATTCTTTTGTTTTGTTTTAATGAAATATGTACAACGATGATTCTTTTTTTTTTTTGCTATGATTTTTGAGTATTGTTCCTTTAACCGTTCAAAAAAAAAAACCTAATTGATTGATTGAAAAAGGAAAAAATGTGTGAGAAAGAAAATAAAAAATTGATAATTTGATATATTGATATATATATATATTGATTAATGATTGAGAAGGTACACGTCATCCACTTTAATTGTGATTGTTAAAATGAAATCACATTAACAATATTATAAAATTAAAACATCACATTTGATCGTCACTGTTCCACAAACTTTAGCTAAAATGAGTCATTAGGATGATCAATTACTTTATATATACCTTTTTTNGCAAATTGGCTTGTTTATTGCGTCATTTCACACCCAATGATCATAGATCTGTCTCTTATACACATCTAGATGTGTATAAGAGACAGCTTTAACTCCTTAAAATTAATATAGATTTTAAAGTAATTTATTTATATTGAATCATATGATATATTTCTATTTTTATTTAAGGAGTTGAATAAACAGATTTTTAACTTGATTTTTTACTGGTTTTTGAAAAATTCAAAATATCAAATTTTCAAATTAAAAAATCATAGGGTGGTCTTACAATTTTGCAATCAGCTATAACTTTAGTTGGTTTGTTCTTTATTCGAAATATATATGCGCTTCTATCTGAAAATCATACTATCATTTTGTTTACTGAAACGTTTGATGCTAGTACATAAAGTTTTTTGGAAATATTACAACATTTGAAGCAAGTGGTTCTAATTTTGAGAAGACATTGGATTGTTTAGTGATATCTAATATATGTAAATATTACTTTATGTATAAAAAATATAAAAAAAAAATATTTATTGTGTGTAAAAAAATGATTTATAAAAAAAAGCTGCGATTGAAAATGCTGGACAATTACAAAAATGTAAAACAAGTGTCTCACAAACCCCAACAAAAAGCATAAACAAATAACACAAACGGTAAATAATCGTCAATATCCAGCCAAAGTTTCCTAAAAGGGAAAATTTCATATGAAATTTACCAATATGGGATCATTATGATTGATTATTGATGTTGCACGAAATCATGTAATATGCAACGATATGTAACACTAATGTCACACGATTTCAGCCCAAGGTCACAAGGTCAAAGATAACGCCAAATTTAGCATTTTTGTTTTTGCCCCTTTAGAAACAAATGCAATCTTGCAGCCCCTTCTTGTGAAACTTATGTAACTGTAACACATCATTCTGTGAAACGGTAACACCTTTGTGAAACGGTGACACTTGCAAATCTACTATTCCAAGTAGAAGCTGATGATCCGCACAACTTTAAATAAAGCGCGGGAAATTTCCTAAAATCTTAAATAATGGTTTTTTTTTTTTTAATCGACAAACGCAATTGGTATTTCAATGAACTGTAACAAAAATAAAAAATAAAAAAAATAAAAAATAAAATAAAATAAAAAAAAATATTTTGAAAAAAAACAAATAAAGATTTATCATTGACAGGGCGTCCCAAATTTCCAAAAATAGGACAATAAAAAAGAGTTTCTTTACCATCTACGCCGATAACAAAAGCAAAATCATAAACGTTACCATGAAAAAAAAAGAAGAATAAAATTAAGTTCATAAAAAAATGAGGCGTTGATATTTTTTACTTTTTATCATTATAATAATAAAAAACCCGAAAAATTTTCAAAGCCATAAAAGTTATATGAAATGACGGGATGTTTCGTAATAATTAAAATGGGTAAAAAATTCTTTGTGTTAAATTAGTAATAATAACAATAATAAGCCATTTTGTTATTTTGTTTCATTTGTTTTTGACAATGATAAAGATTACGGTACGCCAAAAAAATAAGTATTTAATTTTAATATTAATTAAACGATAAAAAATTTTGAAACTTTACTTTATACGAACTAATGATCTCTTTTTTTGGCCTTTCCTTTGAGTCAGTAACATAAATTTCCGAAGTTCATGTTTATTCTATTTTTCCCCTTAATCTCCTTCCAGTAATATTCTGCATAAATTATAATTTATGCAAGTGATTAATAATCAATAAAAATAATTTACACAAAGAAAAATGATCCTATATAAAAAAATAATTAAACCTTATTAATGATTATCATTAAACAAATGAATATTGTATTATAAATTCAAATAAACCAATGAAATTTATTGTTTGACAAAAAAAATCTTTTTTACCGTTTAATATTCGGTTAAATCTCGTGAATTTCCCGTGTTACTCTTTTTTCATGTTGTGCATTGACCATGTGATCAACTAAGATGATTACACGAAGTTTGAACTATAAATAAAAATAAAATTATCATTTAAACTAAAAATAATAAACTTTTTGTTATATAATTTAATTTGGAAACAAGTTAATCGTCTTGAATTTTATCTTTTTAAAAAAAAATTCTTTTTATAGTTTTTTTTTTTTTTTTTTAAGATTTACTTTTGAACTTATATTGCAAATAATTACAATTATTAATCGATAAGCATTATGCTTTTGTCGCTCGATTTTTTCATTGTCTTTCACCGGGCGTTGAATCGCCAAATTAATCTCTAGTCCCACCTTAATCAAATATACTGTATTTAGTAAAAGCATATGTCAAAAATGCAATCCAAATTTTTAATTTATTATAATAAATTTTTTTTACATGTATTATTATTAAAAAATGTTCTTAAAATTTTTTTATTATTTTTTTTTTTTAAATATTATGTTGTTTTTTTTTTNATTTTTTTTTTTTAAATATTATGTTGTTTTTTTTTTGTTTTTTTTTAAAAAATTATTTTTTTTATCGTAATTCCCCCTTCTTCTTTTTATTGTTAAAGACTAATGAAAGAAATGGTCATCATTTCCTCATAGAAATGAATGAAATATGGATGTATTTATATTTTTTAAATTTTCTGTGTAAATGTTTTTTTTGATCCGCTGATTGTTTGTTGTACTATAATATCATCTATTCATATTTTACTAAAAATTTTATATCGCGAAACGAAACTTGCAGCCTTTCCTTTAGGGGCAATTTAACAATCATTTAATCCCATTACTTTTTTACTATATTAAAATATATAATAGAAAATTCTATTATAAAAAAAAATCTGATCATTTCTTTAAATGTAAAATAAAGGATTACATTATGGCGTGCATTAAAAACTGATTCAAATTTCCTTTAAATTGAAATATTATTTTTTTTTCCTGTATAATAAATAATACCTGGTACAGTATTAAAGTTATGATGCGGCTATATTTGAACTAATCTCAAAATGATTTACTGCACATATTAAATCACGGACTTCTGCACTTCAGCCTGGCTCCGATTTTTTTTTTTGTGTAATCACGTGATTATATAACTTTCTCACGCGTGATCTGCTGAATCCGCAGTAAGTTTATTTTACAAAAGTTCATTATAATACTTGATAAAAAATATAAATTTGAATGGCGCCATGTGAAACAATCAAATGTTTTATTGGTATACCAACCAATTATAATAAATCATATATATTATAGTCTGGATAAATTAAAGATTATCCTTATATAATAAAATTTTAACAGAAATTATTAAACAATTTTTTTTTTGTTTCAGTCATTAATTTAACTATCCAGTTAATTATTTATCCATTATACTTATATTATCTCTTTTAATAAAATAAAATAAAAAAATAATATATTATTTGAGTTTTGTTTTTTAATATATATATATATATATATTCACATCTGCAATACATAAATTTATACATTACACCCTAATTACCCTGGGCAAAATTACGTAATGCCAGGCAAAATTAAAATATGTTAAAACATGTGACATTTAACTATTAAAGGTGTGAAAAATGGATTTTTTACAACTGAAAAAATTCCGTTTCCAGAATACATATAAAAAATGAAAAGAGAAGGGGTGTGACACAGATGACAAAAAAGGATGTGATGCATCACAGGTGTGATAAATTATAAAATCCACATTATTTATATTTATAAGCAAATTTTAGATAAAAATTGAAATTATAATATTATAATATATATTAAAGTATTATAATTATAATACTTTTTATCACAAAATTTCCATTATTATTTTATAAAAAAGATTACTTAATAGTATATATGTAGGATATTTTATGACTTATGAGTATGACAAGTAGTTTCAGATTAATTATATTAGAATAGTTTTATAATTTTATATGTATTTTATGTTAAATAAATTGTTTTAATAAATTTATAAATGTATTGTGATAAAACTTAATTTTAGTTTTATAATATATATCTTATATTTTAGATAAACTTAATTGTAATACCCTATTATATATCTTATTTATAATATTTTAAAATAACATTTTCTTCATATGGGCCGATCCTTGGAATCTAATTTTTTTACACAAAAATAATTTTATTAAAGCAAATATAAATTATCATTTATATAAGAATAATAAATTTATACCAGATAATGCAAAAAAAACTAATTAATTATATAATTTTTAATTTTTTTTTAATATAAGATATCATTAAAATTTAAAAGATCAAATATAACTCTCATGACAAAATCATTGATAATTCTTCGTAGAAATAAGCTATACAAATAAATTTACATTCATTTGAAAGAGAAAATCGAGATCTATCTAATGAATCTAAAATCAAGTGAATTGAATCACTAGTTGTTCAGTAATCACGTTCAGTATATTTATTGAATTTTATCTAAATTTGATCATTAATTACTTCACATGTAGTGATTCAATTTGAATGATCTTTGCTCCCTAAGGTGATGCCAACTTTTATCTTTAAAATAAATTTAAAATAATTCGTTTAATATATGTAGATGTTTAGGAATCATCAATTATATTATTAATATAAAATTTTATAAGTTTGATAAAATCTGATATAAAAAAATTTATTAAATACCTGTAGATGCAAGCTACACGAATGAAATTATATTCATTTGAAAGAGAAAATTGAGGTCTATCTAATAAGCCTAAAATCGAATGAATTGAATCACTGGATTGTGAATAATTACGTCTAATATATTTATTTTTAATTTTTAAATTTGATTTGACTTTGATCGTTAATTACGCCTCATCCAGTGATCCAATTTTCCTGATCTTTGATTCTTACGATAGAGCAAATTCTCAGCTTTCAAATGAATGTAAAATGATGACGTTAGCATATCTCCAGGAATAATAATGCACGATTTTGTCACCTGCATAAAGTCCGATCTGAAAATTTTATTTCTTACCAAAAAATGCTTTCATAAGAGAATCCCAAATTCTTTTACTTTATTTAAAAGATTTTATTTGCCATTTAAGGATTTTAGTAGAATAAATCTAATAAAATAATTTTAAAAGATAAAAAACAAATATATAATTAGTTATTTTGAAAAAAAAAGAATATCTTATTATTCATTTTACAACTATTTTACATCATAATTATTTTTTATTTGCATGTATTTTTTACAAAGAAAAAACAATAAATTAAAGCTAAAAATTATGAAAAAATATGTCTTATCTATGTATATAAAATATTAAGTTTTTTCTTTTACTTACCACTTAAAAATAACTGCTATATTTGCTTATAAACTTTTTTGTCATATTTAATAAAAGTGAATAGAAAAATGATGGAAAAGTGATGGGAGTGATGGGGAAAAAGAAGTGGTTATTACCGTTATTTTTGAATATTGATTAAAAAAATTTTTTTTATTTTTTATTAAATCTGAGTTACGTAAATATGTAACACATATTTAATTTAGATTTGTGTAATGTTAATCTTACTAAAATATTAAATTTTTATAAAAATCTTAATTTAGACTAATTCCAAAAATCGGCACATATGTTGCCAATTTTTTGAAATATTTTTATAGATCTAGATACAATGGCTTTCAAAACAATTGTACAATTATTTTGTAAAATTTTTAAAATATATTAAAATATATTTAAAGTATTTTTGAAATTAAAATATTAAAATAATATCAAAGTTAATTATATTATAATGATAAAATAATAATAAAAGTATTAAAAAATTATTATGATATTATTTTGAGTTATTTTTATAAACCTAAAGTTCTAGATACAATATAATTACAAAATAATAACAAAAGTATAATAAAAACATTTTGATGTATTAAATGTATTTAGTGTTCCGCATGAACCAAATTTCTTCTCTAAAATTTGATTCAATTTGGACTTGATTCGAACTCAATTCAACCTCCAAAAATTATTATCTTAGGATCTAGCAGTGATGTGTATTGGAAGATTGGAAGCTATTGGAATCTTTCAATTTTTCCAATTCCAAGCCTTCTAATGCCAACAAATTTTTGTTGAAAGCTTCCAGTATACATAGAATATATACAATATACATATATATATAAACTAATATGTATTGAAAATTATTGGAATATTGGAATCTTCCAATTCTTCCAATTTCAAGCCTTCCAATTCCAATAAAAAGTTATTGGACGCTTCCAATGCACATCACTGGATCTAGTGATCCAATTTTAATAATCATTTTTTTAATCGATGGGTCTCGTTGACCTGATCAAAATAAAAAAATCATCAAAATCAGACTGCTAGATCAAAAGTTATTCGCAAAATATGTTTTTATTATTCAGAAGCAATCAGGGTCACACCGTATCATGAATCGATTCGTGTGGAATACTAAATGTATTTTAGTAGTATTTTAAAATTATTACAAAATCATTTTAAAAAATTGGCCATTTTTAGTAAAGTTTTATTGGTCAATTTATGTTATGTAATATTATATAAATCCCAATAAGAAAATTTTACTCCTAGTAAAAATTGAAATTTAATAATAAAAAATGGTTTTTATCAAATAAATCAAAAAATGACATTTAAAATCACTTTTATTATCTTAAGTAAATTTAAAAAAAAAGTAAAAATACATTTTATTACATTATTTTTTAATATTATATATTGATATAAATTTTTTTTGTAATTTTATTTTAAAAAATATTATAAATAAGATATATATATATATATATATATATATTTGTTGCAACACATTTAATAGTTTATTAAAAAAAATTTTATATTAACACAATATATATAATCAAATACAAAAACTAATCTAATTTATTAACTACTAAACCACTTGTCATTCTACAAGAGGATCTTACATGTATATTGTCAAATGAATTTTGGAATAAGAGTAAGTTTTATGTAAAATATAAGCTTTTTTAAAGGGAAATCTTTTCTTTTAGTCAACATTTTGGGAAAAATCCAGTAAAACCTACTGCAAAATAACAAAAAAAAAAAGGATTTTAACAAAAAAAATAGGGTAAAAAAAAGGTTTAATAAATATAAACTAGGTAGCGAATACTTTACATCCTAAAACTTCATATTTGGTCCAGTTCTCCTATCAGTTAGCCATTGATTTTAGTAATACTCAAATTTTAGCCAGAATTGTAAGTTTGTCATTGTCATCAAAGCTTTTATGTCTTAAAGTAAATTGCTTCTTAATTTCTAAAGACTTTTCCCTTCTGTTTCTGTCTATCAGTAAAAAAATTAGTCCACTCATATTATATCAAATCATGTGATTTATCCTGCTTTAGATGATTCTCTTTTTTGAAAGTTTGCATAATGTCATATGATATATTGATATTTTTCGTTAGGACGGACTGCAAATAAAATGACGCAATTATTAATAATTATGTTACAATGATGATTAGATCGCAAAAATTACAAATGGAAAGGCAGTTTAATGGAAAACCTATAAAAAATAAAAAAAAGAAATGTTAATATTAAAGAAATTCCAAATAAATACCCACCCACACATACCTATATCCTGGAGGAATTAGGTCCTGGAGGAATTAGGAAGCCAAAACCTACAGAGAAATAAAAAGAAAAAACGTTAATATGTTTCTTTAAAGAAATTATAAAAATAACAACACACAGAGCATACTCATGTCTTAGAAGAATCCAGGAAGCCGAAAATGTTTCCCTACAAAATATAATAAAATAAACGTTATTAATCTCTAAAAAAAGCAAATTTTAAAAAATCTCTTACCTTTCAAGTCGAAATTCCAACCCGAAAAAGTACAAGTCCTATAAAATAAGACAAAAGAAACGTTAATAACGTTTTTAAAAGTAATTTTTTTTAAGAAAAAAGGCAACTTACCCAAGATCCGTATTCTTGATCTTAAAAAAGTTGCAATTCGGACTTCAGAGTAAATAATTATAATAAAAAAAAAATAATTTTTAAAAAGAAAAAAAAATCAGTTTAAGAAACCGAAATGTTTTTTTAAAAAAAAAATATAAAATATATATTTTTTAATAAAATGAATAATTAATGGTTTACGAGTCAATTTTAATTGGACGTAATTAGGAATTATAAAAATTGGGGAACGTCGCCGGGGTGATTGTCGCCTGGTTTTTTTTCAAATATGTCACATGATGTACAATATATAGAGTAAATTTATTAATCAGCTGAAGGCTGATTTTTTTAATTTGGCTAATTTTTGATCGGTTAAACTCAAAATTTTATCGACAAAAGATATTTTAAAAAAAAACTTTTTTACAAATATATTTATTCAAAATAATCTTATTTAATGAAATTTTATTTGCAAATATGAAAATTTAAACCACACATTTACGATTTTAAAGAAAAAAATCACCATATTTATTTTTAATGAAGTGATACAAATAAAGAAACAATAACAATAAATAAAAAAGATAAGTAAATTACAATGATCAAGGAGAAAGATGCTAATAAAAAAAATGAAATAACAATGGAGTAATGAAAAGTAATAGAAATGGAAGAGAGTAAAAAAGAGTAATGAGAAGTGATAGGAAACAAAAAGGAGAAATAGGACATGAGAGTGATGGGAGACGAAAAGAAGTGATGAGAGACGAAGAGGAGTGATGGGAGATGAAAAGGAGTGAAAAGAGTGATGGGAGACGAAAAGAAGTGATGGAAGACGAAGAGGAGTGATGGGAGATGAAAAGGAGTGATGGGGGACGAAAAGAAGTGATGAGAAGATGTAGAGGAGTGATGGGAGATAAAAAGGAGTGAAAGGAGTGAAAGGAGATGAAAGGATGTGATGGGAGACGAAAGAAGTATTAATTTTCTACCGTATCCGTTGAATACTCCAGCTCTTAATACAAAGTTCTTTAACCTTTTCCTAGGATTTTTGGCGAAACTAGGTTTCTCCTATTTCCTCACAACGCCCTGTGAAGCTTGGGATGCTCTTAGGTATCATGAAGAATGGCGTGCGTCTAAACTTCCAATGAACAAGACGAAGATTACAACATCACTTTACAAGCAACTTGACTGGTTCGAAAATGAGGGCTCGGAAGAAGAAAGGAAATCAGCAAAAAAAGATGTTGCAACAATTTAAGGTAAAGTCATGCTTTTGCGAGTTATGTGGCGATTGTGTGACAGGAAGCATAGGGGACTACGGTTCCACCCTGTTACAACTGGGATTGAGCAAAACCACTAGACTACGGTTCTTGAGTGGCGATGGTCCTTTCATAAACTTACAGAAGTGTGGCTACCTCTATTTGTGGTTAATTAAAATCTATTAAAAATTTTTTATGGCTAAAATCGATTCTTATACAGGATGGTTTAGATACTGATGGATGCATTTATGAGTTTTCGATGGCTGAGACATACAAACTTAGAAGAGGCAAAGGTTACTACAAAAGTTCATGGATTACAGGTAATGGAAAGTGTTTCTCTTCAACCTTCATTTATAAATTTCTGGCCATTTAATTCTGGTCCCTTCTTTGTTTCCTATGAATAGGCAGAGCAACATTTAACATTCACAACTGTCGCAACAAAACAAATGAAACATTACGCACTATCAACAACTCGCGATAGTCATGTAAAGCAGGAAATCATCAACTCTTTAGTGGACCATGAATATGAAATTGATGACGACTTTAACAGTGCAAAAAGATGTTACGATACAAGCTCATTGTCTCTCTCACGAAAAAGGTAATGGCTCAAAATTCGCCTCCCATCTACTACAAATGGATGGACATCTATCATGTAAGTTGCGGTCGAAACAAATGTTGTAAAGAAAAACAAGATTAATGAACTTTTTGATGACATGAGAAATCGATATATATATATATTTTATGCGAACCGTTCAGACCATTATCAGAAACGGACGCGGAGGACCGTTCGAGATGATAGCTCAAAACACTGCTGTTGAGGTTGATCTTCCTGAAGATATCAAGGAATATCTTCATTGTTTGCTCAGTGGAAATATTAAAAATGCATTGTCAGAAGTAGAAAAAACACTTGATGAGAGACGGCCATTGATGTTATGAACGAGAGAAGTCTGTCGATATTTTTTGTTTTACTACTACTATGATGGCTTGCAAACAGACAGCGATGAAAAAACTTGGTCCAACCAAACGGTCTATCGAATTTTGGATCTATTTTCGATGTTTTTTGGATTTTTTTTTAATAAGATTTTAATTTAAATTAAAATTGACATCAGGAATTGCCTTGTAAGCCTTTAATCTTGTACTTTTTATTTTATGATGAATATGATGAATTGATACATATCTTTGATTTAGTGGAGAAATCATAAACAAAGCACACAAAGATAGAGTTTATAACATAAATGTTGACCAAAAACCATCAAATTCAAGAGAGACGATAAGAACGATGCTGTCTTATATCAGGATGATAACGCTACAATTCTATATGAATAGTCCTTTGGGCCCACGGAATTTACTCGACACATTATATGGGAGATATAACGAAATTAGCACGTAATGAAGTGGATGATTTAAATTATCACTTCTTACAATATTGCAAATGCTCCGTAACAACAGCGAAGAAACTCAAATCTGTGGCATCCATGGATATAGTAGGTATTTTCCATTTTTTTTTGCTTGGGGTGTTTTACAGTAAAACCTAGCCAACTTCTATGTTTTTAGAATATTTATATTAATTTACCTCACGGGCCTCATTTGTATGAAAACGTATAAAATATATGAAATATTTAAGTGTAAAATTCCCAACGACATATACAATCGATGGCTCCTAGCTAAGTCGTAATAATAGGAGTTCATTTGGAGGTATTTCTATACTAGACTGTCTAGACATACAAATGCATCTCATTTGCTATTACTTATTGTAGGTTCATTTATCTTTTATAGACACTGCCTACGGTAAGACTGTCTGTGAAAGGGGAAATGGGCATGGAAGACACAATCAACGATGATGGTCCTTATTGTGTACGTGATTGGAGTAATACCAGATAACACTTCAGAAAACAAAAGAACAAAATGAAGTCAGATATGTTATATTTCGTAAAAAAACTTTTTTTTTCGTAAATATTTCTTTTTTTTTTAGGTAAAGGAAGCCGAAAACGAGTTCCGGACTTCCATATCGAAGGTAAAAGCGATTATTTTTTTAATTAATTTTTATTGAACGAACGTTAACTAACGTTCGTATTTCTTTTTTTTTTAGGTAAAGGAAGCCGAAACGAGTTCCGGACCCATATCGAAGGTAAAACCTTCGAAAAAAATTAATTTTTTTTTTATTTAATTTATTGACGAACGTTAGTAACATTCGTATTTCCTTTTTTTAGGTAAAGGAAACCGAAACGAGTTCTAGACTCCCACAAACGGGAAGATTGGCAATTTTCTCCCTCCAGTAATAAAAGACACTATATTTGCCAGATCGTATGATTTTGAAGTATTTCCCGCATATTTGGATGTTAATACCATGGATGCATTGGTATCACTTGCTGGAAATGCTAATAAGAATTATAATCCCGACAGAACTGCATATCTAGGAATTCCCCTTTGGGGTTCTCTTGCTCAAGCGGGTGTTAGTCTTATAAACCTTATTCATCTTTCTTCGCAATTTTAGCAAAAACGACAAAGATTATCTTGCCAACTTTGCATGTACAGCCTGCACCATAGCCCATATCGAAGGTAAACCTTCGAAAAAAAGTTTTTATTAATTTATTTGACGAACGTTAGTAACGTTCGTACTTCTTTTTTTTTAAGTAAAGGAAGCCGAAAGACAAGTTCCGGACTCCCATATCGAAGGTTTTCATATCGAAGGTAAAACCTTCGATTTTTTTTTTTATTATTTTATTTAATGAACGTTACTAATGTTAACGTTCATTTTTTTACTTTTCGTAGGTACAAGAAACCGAAAGGCAGGTTCCGGTCTCCTATTTCGAAGGTGAGGCTTCGAAATTTTTCATTTTACTTTTTTTTCTTTTATTTTAGCGTAATGTTTACCAACGTTTCGGCTTTCTCTTTTGTAGGTCCACGGCTTTCCGGACGCTTCGTGGGCTCCATTTCGAGGGTATATCCTTTATATCCTTCGAAAGTGTTTTTTTTTTATTAGATTTTTTTACGAACGTTAACTAACGTTCGTTTCATTTTTGTAGGTCCAAGACGCCGAAGGTACGGGACTCGATTTCGAAGGTAAATAACTTAAAAAAAAAGGAGTCTTTTTTTTTTAACGAACGTTCACTAACGTTCGTTTTTTTCTTTCTTCGTAGGTCCAGGACGCCGAAGGACTTAATTTCAAAAGTAAACTTCGATTTTATTTTTATTTTTTATTTATTTTTTGTTTATTTTTACGAAGCGTTATTAACGTTTCGATTTTCTTTTTTTATGTTCTGGCTCTCCTGAACTCTCCTGGACGGAATTTCGAAGGAAATTTTTTTATTTTTTTTTGTTTATTTTTTACTTGAACGAACGTTGACTAACGTTTCAGTTTTTCTTTTGTAGGTTTCCAGCTTTCCAGTTTCGTCTGGACAGAATTTTCAACATGGTAAGTTTCGTAACGAACTTTTCGTTACAAAACTAATATTTTTTTTATTTTTTAAACGAAACGTTATTTAAAGTTTCGTTTTTCTTTTTTTTTTGTAGATTTTCGGCTTTCTTGGTGCCTCTTGGACGGAATTTCGAAGGTAAAACTTCGAAATTCTACATTTTTTTTATTTTATTTAAACGAAACGTTTTTTTTTTGGTAGGTTTTCGGCATTTGGTCACCGCCTGGATGGGATTTCTAATGTAAAACTTTGAAATTCTTTATGTTTGTTTATTTAACGAATGTTCACTAACGTTCGTTTATTTATTTATTTATTTTTTTGTAGGTCTACGGATTTCTGGTGCTTGGATTGAATTTCAAAGGTAATTTCTTTGAAATTTTTTGCTTTTTTTTATCAAAATGATTTACTAACATTTCGATTTTCTTTCTTTTGTAGGTTTACGGGTTTCTGAATGCTCATTAGACGAAATTTCGAAGGTAATCTTCGAAATCTTCATTTTTATTTTTCAAAGAAACGGTACTAATGTTTCTTCCTTTTCTTTTTGTAAGTTTCAGACTTTCGATAGTGGAAAATCGAAATGGTAAGTTTCGCAATACTTTAATGTTGTGAAACAATTTTAAAATTTTTTTTTCAAGAAACGTTACTAACGTTTCTTTTTATTTTGTAGTTCTAATATTCTGTACTCTAGTGAATGTGCGCAAAGAACTTTGGATTTTTTCTATTTTATTTGTTGTTTGTTGGAATCGAACCAACTGGAACAATGTCCCAAACCATTAACAACATATGAATTTGATGTAAAGAAGACGACGGAACTTTGATTTTAGTGCATTTAATAAAATCTTTTTTTTCTTTGATAACTTTCAACATGTAATATGTACTTTTTTGTTAATTTTGTAAATATTATTAAATACAGTTTAATAAAAAGATTTCAATTTATAAATGAATTAATTAATGCAGTGTCCAATACTAAATTTTTTAATATTCTGAAGAATTTCACAGATGTATTTTAAAAATTCTGCGCAGATTTTTTTAACACTTGCAGATCTGCGCAGAAATTTCTTCGCAGATTTTTACCTTAAAAAATTTACCAATAGTCATTATAATTCATATTTAAAATTGTGTTTAAATAAAATATTTTTAATAAATATATAAATATATTTTTTTATAAATGGTCACAAAATAAATTGCTTAGTAATGTAGAAAATCTTAATGTCATAATAAGAATTTGCTTAGCAGGATTGTAAATAGTTTGAGTAAATTTTGAAATTTTCATCTGACCTATATACACTAGAGGTCTGCATTGACCCCTATTTTACAACCCGGCCCGGCCTGCAGGACCGAACCTGGATTATTATTATATCATTTGTTGTAAAAACAACAAAAATCGGCCAACTTAATTTTAGCCCAGTTTAATTTCGGCCGGAATTAAGACGATTTTGGCCAGAATTACAAAAATCTGGGTTTAACGAAAAATCATGTGCCGGCCCGGACCCGGCTTGGGTGAATTTTGAAGAAAGTTTGCCGGCCCAAACCCATCTAATATACTGTGTATATATATTGTTCAGGATTCTTTTACAGTACTAATCCAATTAGTTTTACCAATATTATACGTATGTGAATATTCAAGAAATTTAGTTGTTTGATTATTATTGTTTAGAATAATAAAAAATTATAGTTTTTCAAAAAATTAATTAATAATTAATTATCATTAAAAAAGAAGATGGAAATCCAGTGTCTATTGATTCAATTAAATTCCATTGCTTTTATTAGCATTAGTAACCAATAATCAGAAATTCACATTATTTTTTATTCCACAATTTTTGACAAAAAATAATATAAATATAAGTACCAGTTGATCGTATGGGTGGATGACCCCAGCATTACCCAAAAATTTTCACCTATATGACTTAATGCCTGAATTGTCAAGCATTTATTAATTAAATTTTGAAAAATATTTTTATAATTAAACAATTCATGATCTTACCGATCAGTGACAAAATGATTAATTAGTATGTGGACAAAATTTTACTGAACACTAATTAAATTTGGAAAATTGCAAAAATTAGCCATTATTAAACATGATCTATATTTCTAAAAAGGAGGTGGCTGAAATTCACATATAACACCATAACCATGCACCTTAATTGGAGTGTTTTTTTTTGTTTTTATAACTTTATATTTTATTTATTTTATTTCAAACCTTTTTTAATAGTGAGAAGATTGGCAAATTATAAATATTTTTTTTTTTTTGTTTCAAAGTGCTATAATTTATTTAAAAACGATATTAACAAAACTAATATGAATGATAATCATTTCATTGGTGCTTAATAATTACCTAAGACGAAAAGATTAACCAGTTACTGCGATTTTGTAATAATTGATATACATTCCGGTTGTGCAAAATTTGTTTGTCATATATGCAATGATGCAATGCTTGTAATTGTAATTAACACAATGTATTTTGTATAAATATTGTTACCATATTTATTTATACTAATAAATAAAGGCATTTTAAAAAAA